TTTTGCCTAAATAATTCAATTTTCTTTGAACTTTTTCTGAAGTGATTATTTACTGGAAAATTTCGAAATTTCCCTATAATGAGCTCCTCACTTTTCTCTTTTTCCTAGAAAATGTTCAAAATTTTCCCTTTGCCAGTTTTCCCAAAAAAAAAAATTAAATGTGAAAGGTGAATTTTCCTTAATGTTGCTTAAATAACTCAATTTTCCAGAATTTTTTCTGGAGTCATTTTTCACTAGAAAATTTTGAAATTTTCTTATATTGAGTCTTTCACTATGTCTCCTTTTTTCTGGAAAAATTCAACAATTTTTGCTTCGCCATTTTTTCAGAAAAAAATTTAAATGTGAAAGGATGAATTTTGCTTAAAAAAGTCAATTTTCCAGAACTTTCTTATCGACTTTCCTTGGAGTGATTTTTCACTAGAAAATTTTGAAATTTTCCTATAATGAGCTCCTCATTTTCTTCTTTCTCCTGGAAAAATTTCACAAGTTTTGCTTTATTAGTTTTCCAAAAATAAATTGAAATGTGAGGATGAATTTTTTTTAATTTTACTTGAAAAAGTCATTTTTTTCAGAATTTTTCCTGGAGCGATTTCCCATTGGAAAATTTTGAAATGTTCTTATAATGAGCTCCTGACTTTCCTTTTTTTCCTCTTTTGCGAATTTTTCAGAAAAAAATGTGAGAGGATGAATTTTCCTTAATTTTACTTGAAAAAATCAATTTTCCAGAATTTTCCTTGGAGTGATTTTCAACTGGAAAATTTTGAAATTTTCCTATAATGAATTCCTAACTTTTCTTTTTTTTCTGGAAAAATTTCACAATTTTTTCTTTACAGATTTCTAGAAAAGAATTAAAATGTAAGAGGGTGAATTCTCCTTAATTTTGCTTAAAAAAGTTAGTTTTTCAAAATTTTTCCTGGAGTGATTTTTCACTCCATTTTCGTAAAATGGGCTCTTCATTTTCCTCTTATTTCTGGAAAATTTTCAAAATTTTCCCTTTGCAAGTTTTTCAGAAAAAAATTAAAATGTAAGAGGGTGATTTTTTTCTAATTTAGCTTAAATAAGTCAATTTTTTAGAACATATTTGAGATTTCAGTCACTTGACAGTTTTTTTCTATATTTTCTTTCAACGTTATCAGAAAAAACATAATCGCATCGGAAAATGGAGAAATGTAGACAACTTCGACTTTTTTAAGTGGAACACCCTGTATATTTTGCGATAAAATGAAAGACCTTTTCTTCCTTACAAATATATATATGTTGATCACCTTTGCGTGAGCTATTTTTGACATCATAGCTCAGCCTAAATTATAACTAAATTGCAAAGAAATTTTATAAAGATAGAGGTCCTTATGGAACTTCTCTGCAAATTCTTTATTATTTAACCTGAGATATGTCAAAAATTTCTCACGCAAATGTTATCAATATATATATATATATTTGTAATCAGGAAGAAAAGGTCTTTCATTTTATCGCAAAATATACAGGGTGTTCCATTTTAAAAAGTCGAAGTTGTCTACGTTTCTCCATTTTCCGATGCGATTTTGTTTTTTCTGATAACGTTATCAGAAAATATAGAAAAAAACTGTCAAGTTTTCTATTTACAATTCTTTTCTATCTCAAATATTAAAGGCTGTAGGTATGGTGCCAAATATAATCAAATACCCTGTACATAATATTTAGAAACACCCTGTATAATATGCAGTTAATTAATTTATATATTTGGAACTCCAATGATTTTTTAAAGGCCAGTATTTCAATGTCACCTTAAGATATAGAATAAACAAACATAGACATTAGAGAGTTATTGGAGATTTCAAAATAAAGCTAGCAGTAATAAGGCAACATTAATTACCCTTTGCCGTTTGTACATGATATTTAGAAACACCCTGTATAATATGCAGTTAATTAATTTATATACACTGTGGGCCAAATTAAGTTGGAACATAATTTGACCATTATTAACTTTTTTGTCTGTTTATGGATTTCAATGATTTTTGGATATGATATTAGTCAATAAGTTTTTGTTATTACCTTAAAATTAACTAGACCAATTCTGGTCAGGACCGGACTTACCACGATTTCATTAAATCAGTGCATTTAAGCTCGTCGCAAAAACGAACTGCGCTACCTACAAACCAACAAATATTTTTTCAAAGAAGGACATTAATGGGAGAATCAGTCCTGAAATCAACAATATTTTATATTATAACCAAAACCACAGAAATGGAGATTTTTTTTATCGGACAGTGCTTGTCTCCCTTGTCGGCTTTAACTAACAAATACTCAATCAATATTGGAGATTGTTTTGTGAATAGACATTTTTCATTAATCTTTAAAATAAAATACTTTATGACTAACTCCCTCCCAGCAATAAATGATCCAATTTGTTATTTCTTCGATTGTTGTAATATTGTAATTCGCATAAACCATAGACTTTAGAATTCCCCATGCAGTAATCAACGGGGTTTAAGTCAGGGGTGTTAGGCGGCCACAAATCTGGCTCAATAATTTCCGAACAATTTTCTTGTAAAAATCTTATTATGCTGCAAGAAATATGAGAGTGGGTCTTGTTGAAAGCAGTAATTAGCAGTTATGTTTTCAATTCCGTATAGCAAATTTGCAAGCACATGCTGTTGGTAGAATTCTGCATTTATCTTGACATTTTTAGCAATAAATATAACACTTGTTTTTCCTGATTTAGAAACAGGCAAAGATACCATAATCAACTCTGCAAAATGTGCCCTAGGAAATCTTGGAATTAAAAGTTTATCCAATGGAACCTCTCGCTTTTTTGCGGCTGTTGAGTAAACCCTGTTATTTTGGGTATTTTTCGGTTAGCGTAAAAAAAAAACTTTTTCGTCGGAAAACCAAATTTTTGAGGTATCTTCCCTGCTACGAAATCTTCTCAGAAGGTGTTGGCATCTTAAAAGTCTTTTTCTTTTATTTTCTGCACTCAATTTTTGGCAATACCTACACTTTTTTGTATACCTTAAGGTTGAGGTCACTTTTTAAAATTCTTCACTTGATTCTTGTTATTCTTGAAATTTTTTTGGAACTCATCATATCTGGTGGATTGGATTGATATTTTCGACAATTTTCCGAATCCTTAAAATATTTTCTTGACAACGTCCACTTCTGTTCCTACCACGACCCACCCTAATTTAAATTGTTTCATTTTCGCGATATTATTTTGAAAAATAGCTTACGGTACTCAAGCTGCAGTTTTTTTCTGGAAACATTTTTAGAATTTTCCGTGCACCCATATTCTTTTCCACCAACCCTTCAATTAAAATTTTATCTCCCAACGATAGGACCATGTTAACTTATTTTAAAACTAAATTATATAAAAAAACAGATTACTATGTCAAAAATTTGACAATTGGTTAATTCCAAAGCAATCTGGATTGAAGTATTTTAAAATTTCCTATTTGAATTGTTAGATGGAAAAATTATAGTTTCTCAGGTTTTGGTTCTAAAATATCGATATTTTTAGGATTTGTTTTCCCAAAAATGCACTTCTAAAAAATAAAATTGGTCTGTAAGTAGCGCATTTCGTTTTTGCAATTTAAATGCACCGATTTAATGAAATCGTCGTAAGTCCGGTCCTGATCAGAATTGGTTTAATTAATTTTAAGGTGACAACAAAAACATATTGACTAATATCATATCCAAAAATCATTAAAATCCAATAACAGACAAAAAAGTTATTAATGATCAAATTATGTTCCAACTTAATTTGGCCCACAGTGTATTTGGAACGCCAATGATTTTTTAAAGGCCAGTATTTCAATGTCATCTAAGATATAGAATAAACAAACATAGACATTAGAGAGTTATTGGAGATTTCAAAATAAAGCTAGCAGTAATAAGGCAACTACCTTATTTAAATAGCGGCTGGAAAAAAACAATTGTTCACGATTACGAACACGTCAAGATACGGCTGTTCCTTAATTCTATTTCTAACCTTACTTCACTTACTGACAGCTTTGCTTTGCTGACAAATTTCAAAAATCCGTCAAAATAAGGGCAAATTATATTATTAGTGCGTGACTTTATTCGTGCAGTAATAAAGTCTAGCACAAACGTTAATAAAATAAGCCTTATTCAACGGCACAAATCTGCGCATTATAGCGTTTGCATTATTACTGCTGGACCTTATTTCACTTCCAATAACTCTCTATTGACAACATTGTCCGACCTTGTTCGATGACGTCATCCTAAATATAACATAAAAACCGTATATTTTAGGGTAAGTCTTGATTTTAAGGTAATATTGTAATACCGATTCCGGTTGAAAAATTTTATTCCATATCAATAATAATTGCGAAAGTGTTCTATGAATTAATTAACGCCAAATACTTTTTCCTAAATTATGACGTCATCGATGACGTAACTAAGTATAAAAAGTGCAAAAATAAATAAATAATTTGGTTGCACTAATTTTTTATATTAGTGTTAGGTAGTGCCACTGTAGGTAGTATTATGGTGGGATGCCGAATGGGAGTTCTAATTTTTGCTTTAGGGGTGCTTAGCACCACCAAGAACCCCCCTAGTTGCGCCTATGCCTCTACTGGGATAAGAATCGCTGAAAAAAGTTGAACTTTGAAAATTTTCCAAAAATACAAATCATAAGGTACCAGTTACCTACCTTAGTACTTAAATGATGATTTTTTTTATGTAGAGATTTTGTCTAAATAATCATTCAGGATCCCCCAAACTCTATACAATAAAACATTCTGAGATTTGAAGCAGAAATCTGTGAGAAAAGGCACTCAGAAAAATTGATAAATCACCCCAAATTGCTTAGCACGATTTTATTTCCAGAACTATAAGACCAAATGAGCTGAAATTTTCAGGGATTGTAGTCCTCTACTGGAATAAGAATCGCTAGAAATTTCAGCTTTCTATCTATAATAGAGATGAAAATGCAACTAATGTGATTAGAAAATAAAACACAAATACTAATTATTTACGAATTTTTATTATCCTTGGTCCGAATTGGGTACTAGCTAGACTAGCATAACAATTTCATATCAATTGTAAAAATGCATAACATCGTAGTTTTTATGGTAAAATTAATTTATATAAAAAAACACTAAATTTGCAACTAATAATGACAATAAATATTTACACTAAATATAATTTTATACAAGATTTCTATAATAAAAAGAAGAAAATGTTATCGCGATAATTTACATACAAAATTTTCCTTACAATAATGACAGCTGATTATAATTTTCTTAATCGAATTTTGTCCATTATTTAGGTTAAAAATTTCTCGTTTTCTATACCATACAGCATTAAATATGCATTACAATAATTCCATCAATAATTCAAAATAGGTTGAACATGATTGTATTGACTTTAAATAATCCTTTTTATTTGCAAGGAAAATGAATACTTACTGTGTTGATAAAATTTATATTTTTATCACTAAAATGTTAATATAGTTAGGCCACAAGGAAACAACATTGGCCTACGCATTAAAATATTATGTACAACAATAATTCCTATTGACCTTAAAAAAATTTAGAAAAGATCATGATTCAACAGCAAAAAAAACTGTATTTATACTTATATACATTTTAGAGTCATTATATAAAAAGGCACAAAGCAGAGAAGGAAGGCTTATATTATAATAATGTTATAAGCAGATATTTTTTTCCTATAATAAACTAATAAATTACTTACCTATATATATCTTTCAACAAATTTTATTGTAATTATTGTCATAACAACTTAATAATTTTGCCTTAACTTTTTGTCAGTGCATCTCTGGCTTATAACCTAAATTTTTTCGCTGTAAAAACAAATGCATTTCCTTAAACGTAGGTCGATCGGACTCGTTTCGGTTCCAACATTCCATCATCAGGTCGTAAATTTCTTTAGGGCAATTGTGAGGAATATTCAGATAAATCTATAGATACAATAATTATTGTTGAATTTTTTAGTAGAAGTTTTAATTTTACTTACTTGCTTTCCATTGTCCTGATAAAAATGAGCTAAATTTTCCAATAGTTTATCATCACCCAAATAATCAAATGGCTGTTCTCTTGCAAAAGTTAAAATCTCCCATAAGAGAACTGCAAATGACCATACGTCGCTTTTATTCGAATATGTTCCCTAATAAAAAAGCTATTATAATTTAATTGTATTTTATTTCAATAGACTCACCAATAGAGCACTTTCCCAAGCCATCCACCTTAAAGGTATCAAACCGTTAGCTATTTGGCAATAATCCTGCGAGTAAATGTCTCTTTGGCAGCCCAAGTCCGATATTTTGATTTGGTAGTTTTCACCTACCAGGCAATTTCTGAAATTAAATTGAAAAATATTCTAGTGCATTGGTTTTAATTACTGCCTGGCCTCTAAACCAATTTAATACACAAAGGGCAGCCGCTCTATCGCTCGAACACAGATTTAATTAGTATAGGTACTGAGATTTTTCAGGGCAAATTAGCTATAGGGGTAATTGTAAATCCAATTTATTTTTTCAATTATGAATCATATTATAATATCAGCAGCTTCATGGATAATTGGAAATGGAATCTTTTATTTTTTGGCATGAACGTATAGGTATATAATGTTCGTTTATTTCTAAGATCTCTATGAAATACTATAGGGCTTCTCTAAAACCAAGATGTTCATTTAAAACATTGTGACATAATTCACTCTTGGGTAGAATTTCCAAATAATTCACTTCATAAAAAATAGGTACCAAAATTGTGGTTTTGTTTCGGTCACCTATTGTCATTGTGTGTATAATCTATTTAGCTACAAAATCTCTGTAATAATAGCTCTGTCGGTGGAAATTCTAAACCAAAACTCGTTTAATATTGCAAGGAGGTGCATTGTAGCTTTATTAAACAATGCCGCATCTAATCAATGTCAAATCCGGATTGCCGTTGCCCAGTTCCAAAGGGCAATCGACCCTGTCCCATCTGAATTTAATTGACGCATCAATCTATCTACTAAACTTTATCTATTAATGAAGTAGTAGCGAAGAGTTTCAATGTAGCTTTAAGTCATTGTCAATCAGCAATCAGCATTGTTGTTTTTTTCTTTTTAATTGGATTTACCTATTTAGTCTGTGAATTGAAATTTTAATTGGTGTCATGACACTTGAAAACCAATTAATATTGAAAATCTTCAATTAAATTGATGACAGACAACCAATTGTGACTATACGCTTATAATTTTGATTTGAAATCGGGCAATTCATTAGAGTTTAATAAATGGGGTTTTATATCTCAATAGTTAACACGTGATTAGCTCTACAGTGTAGGTAGTGTTTCATCCTTATTCTCTTCATAAATGGAAAATTTTATTTTGGGAGTCTCTCTCTAATAGTATAATTACCTATATTGTGCAACAAATGTTGAAAATAGCACTTTTCATACGCATGGGGAAGTGTTGCCAGGTCATATTTTGTTTTAAAGAATGAAAAAAGGTTTGTATTTCGTGCAAAATTCTTTAATAAATATCAGTGCAAAGCGCTTAATAGATCTTACATCCCCTTACACAGACGTCTTTTGAATTAAATCAAAAAACCAATAGATGATCTTAATAAAATCAATTTATTCAATTATTTTACTTTAAAAACTTTTCATCAATTTTCAACTTAAACTCAAATATCCTATTTCCACTCTATGATGATATAAGGGTAGTCTACACATTGTGGACGACTAGCTCGTCATCTACACCACTTAGCTATGTTGTTTTTCACTATAAATATCTTAAATCTCTAAATATTGTTTTAAAAAACGTTGGTAATGGTTTTGGATTTTATAAATTTTAATTTTTCGAACTTCCCGCTCTTGTCAGCTACATTGACTTACTTGTCATGTGTCACTCTAAGCGGAATCCACAATTAAAAACGTGTAACCATACACAATATGGTTGCACATCACCATGTTGGTCTTCCACAAAAATTTAAAGAAATTTTAATTTAAACTTTAAAAAACATCTTTCGATGTGATTGGTAATTTTAAAAGACGCAGCCTTTGCATAGAGTACCAGTAAAAACCAAAGATCTTCCGATATTTTAAAGTGTTAATTTTTAATTTGTAATGTGATGTTTTCGTTTCACTTACGAAAGATCATTCCGATCATTCGATTCTGTTTCATCTTTCTCTGTCATACCAATTCACAAGACAAGGACACAGTATGAGTTACAGAGTTTTCCTAGCTGTTTTGTAGAAACCTATCAAATCCATAACTATAGAAACTGTGACCGAGAAAACAAATAAGTAACCTTAAAATAACGACATTTCCGCGTTGAAATTTGTCATGTGTTTGTCATTTTTAACCGATTGGGCGGTCGTCTAAGAAGACTCAAACTCACAAAATCTAAAGAAGAAATTGTCATTTTTATTAAGGCACTCGGTATCGCGTACCTATAATATTATGTACAACTAGGATAAACTGAACCAGTAAGTATACATGTTAGTTTTGTAATATACGGCATATTTTTTTACTGTTTTAGGAGACCTCAGTCAGAAGAGATAAAATGTAGATGTTAGGCCAAAGAATGTTAGGCCTTGGACAGCTTAGCTTGTACATACATTAAAGCATGTATAAGGGATGTAATAACTGTGTTTGTAAACTCTTTAGGTATTTGACCTATCTAGCTATAATATAAGTATATTTTTTCTAATACAATTTAGTGTTTATTTTGCCATTTTTTTAAATCTACATCAAAAAATGGCACAAAACTTTATGGAGTACCACATCATTTTTCTCATTCGGATTTGAGAAAAAAAGATGTGGAACAACATAAGTAAGTTTTTTGTGCAATCAACTCAAGTCAAATTTCAAAATACCCGCCATTTCAGTATTTGTTCCGGCTGCCACTATTGACGCCACCGTCGCTGTGACGTCAGCGCTATACAAACTTTCATGTTATCAATCAGGTACTCTTACACCTTGGTTTATTATATTTCTCTATGTTTACACCTATATGTTCAACGAGAAGACTCTTTGTACAAACCTGACGAAGTGAGTAAATCTACTTTCTTTAGTAATTATTTTCTTTCTTTTTGAATATTTTAAATCAATTTAGATTAAATTTTCCAAAATTTTCAGGAAATTTTCAAAAATATTCAAATTTTCCAAAATTTCCAAACTTTCAAAGTTTCCAGTATCTTCAGAAAGTGTTTTTCCTTATTTTCAGGTTGCACTGATGATGGTCACGGCCGAAAGCGCTTTGCACTGATATTTATTAAAGAATTTTGCACGAAATACAAACCTTTTTTCATTCTTCATTACTCCTCAACGTGCACATAGCTCTACACCCTCTAATATTTTGTTTTGTCAGTAGGTTACCAGTCTAAATATCAGTAGAAATCAGTTAACAGATAAATTACCTTGTTAAAGGGGTAAATCATTAGGGTATATACTCAATTTATTATTTTAACTACGTTTTTTCAAATCATTAAATCATTAGACTGTGTGTTAGACTATGAAAACTTGCATTAAAAAATCAAACATCAATACTACTTATGAAGAATAGTTTATTAAGATTAAAACACATGAGATATTCCTATTAAATATGCACTATCTATGAGATGCCCTACATTTGGTTCTATATTCTTGAAGAGCACAATTTCCCGACTCCAAAACTATATAATTTGCCTATATTTGGTTGAGCCGTCTCCAACACATTTAGTTCTAAAAATTTTAAAAATACTATCAGAGAAACCAAGTACCTCAAATTCTATTTGCAGCTTTCACACAAAATCAGTAGTAAGATAGTATTTTTACAATTTTTGGAGCTGAAAATATGAGAGACTGTTCAATCAAATATAGACAAAAGAATTAAATATAGGACATCCCATTTGAAAAAAGCTAGAAGCATGCAAAATTTCACATTTCTGAAATTCAAATTTTGTTTCTGACCAACTCTAAAAATTCAGCCAAAGCTTTACAACCTTTTTTCTACCTCTAAAGGTAAAGAAGGAAGGTTAAACTGTTCAAAATCACCTGAAACGTGTACATTTTAAACTAATGAAAATAACTCGCATTTGAGTGAGTCAGGTTAGTATCGTAATTGAACAATATATTGATGAATAGATGACTGCGGAACTCGCTGCGCTCGTCCCGCAGAGATCCACCCATAAGTTCCGCAACAATTCATTCATTTGTACTTGAATAACTTGTCACATTATGTCACTAGTTTGGTAAAGTAACATTACTAATTCCTGTTGAAAGGCGAATTGATAAAAACTGGATAACTTTACAAATTCTGACTTTATATAATAAGTTATTGTTCAAGTACAATGAAGTGGATTGTTGCGGATTTTATGGGTGGACCTCTGCGGCCATCTACTCACCAATATACTGCTGAAGTGTTCAAATAAGACATTCACCTTAAACGTGTAATTTTTAAACTAATGAGAATAACTCACATTTGAGTGAGTCAGGTTAATATCGTAATTGAACAATATATTAATGAATAGATGACTGCGGAACTCGCTGCGCTCGTCCCGCAGAGGTCCACCCATAAGTTCCGCAACAATTCATTCATTTGTACTTGAATAACTTGTCACATTATGTCACTAGTTTGGTAAAGTAACATTACTAATTCCTGTTGAAAGGCGAATTGATAAAAACTGGATAATCTTACAAATTCTGACTTTATATAATTAAGTTATTGTTCAAGTACAAATAAGTGGATTGTTGCGGATTTTATTGGTGGACCTCTGCGGGACGAGCGCAGCGAGTTCCGCAGCCATCTACTCATCAATATACTGCTGAAGTGTTCAAATAAGACATTTACCTTAAACGTGTAATTTTTAAACTAATGAGAATAACTCACATTTGAGTGAGTCAGGTTAATATCGTAAATGAACAATATATTAATGAATAGAGGACTGCGGAACTCGCTGCGCTAATCCCGCAGAGGTCCACCCATAAGTTCCACAATAATTCACTCATTTGTACTTGAATAACTTGTCACATTGTGTCACTAGTTTGGTAAAGTAACATTACTAATTCCTGTTGAAAGGCGAATTGACAAAAAGTGGATAATCTTACAAATTCTGACTTTATATAATAAGTTATTGTTCAGGTACAAATAAGTGGATTATTGCGGAACTTATGGGTGGACCTCTGCGGGACGAGCGCAGCGAGTTCCGCAGCCATCTACTCACCAATATACTGCTGAAGTGTTCAAATAAGACAATCACCTTAAACGTGTAATTTTTAAACTAATGAGAATAACTCACATTTGAGTGAGTCAGGTTAGTATCGTAATTGAACAATATATTAATGAATAGAGGACTGCGGAACTCGCTGCGCTCATCCCGCAGAGGT